GCACATAAGGTACAGAACTAACTCTATGAATGCCAGTTCTGTCCTCTTCCCTTGCGGGCTGTGGGTATAGAGAGAAACTCTGTTTCTAGGAACGGCTCCAGACCATTGGCATACTCCTCTGAAAGAGGCAAACCATCAACAGGATGCTGACAACATTTTAAAATGACTCAATACAACTGTAATAAGTATACTGCCATTAAGTCATCTGATTTTTAAATTATGTACACAGAACATAAAGCATAATTCAACATATACAAATCAAATGTTTTATATTGTCCATATTTAGCTTAAACACCAAACATGTATATATGTCCCAATCCTTTGTTGTGAATAAGCAAAGAAGAGAGCTAGGACTAGGAAGAAAAAAAGGATAATTTTTTTTTCATCCATAAAATGAGGTTGGAATAGATGAACAACATGAACCTTAGCCTTAAAATTTTATGATTGTAAGATGCAGAGAATGAAGAAAGTAATATAATGACAGAGATGTTTATCCATCAGAAGACACAGAATCAGATAGATAAATGCATCAAAATATTTTAATGGCATGACGATGTAGTGTTGCCACCATTAAATATAACATTGCCAACAACTAAATTTACATTAGTTTTGCGAACTCTGGGCATAAGAACAGGATATCATCATTTACTCCACAGGAAAAGATACCGGTTTGGGGGCTGTGTGTCACCCAGGACTGTTGTAGTTACACTGTAGACAGCAATGGTAGGCTGTGATAATACCACCAATCTTTGACTATCAGGAATCCCTTTGTTTTTATCTGATTACAAATATAATCCATAAATATTAACAATACAAATATAAAACTTTTCAACACAGAAATGTCCCTAATAGAGACGGACTTTTAAAACAGTATATCAAATCTCAAGTTTATCCCCGGCCTCTGCTTTCCAGAAATTGGCGTTTGTTAATCTCCATCACCAGCTTCAGCAGTGCTTGTTTAAAATGCAGATTTCCTGGCCCCACCCCAAATCACTGAATCAGAATCTTTTGACCTGGGAATCTACAGTTTGATAATTTCCCCAGATTCATATGCATATTAAATTGCTGGTCACTGGAACTAACACAGAATAGATCAGCTAAAATGGGAGGTATGTGCTTTTCATGATAACGTTAAGTTAAAAGGAGGCATAAAAATAATGTGCACCTACACACAAAGCTTTATGTATAAGTTTACATTTCTGTACAAAGTTGTGGGGGAAGGGAAGCAACATTTATTAACTGCCTACTATGGTATAGATACTGACCAAATTATATTACTCAATCTTCAAAATAATCCTATGTGAGTTATGAATGGAAAAAGTCAGGCTTAGAGAGGGAGTAACTTTTCTAAAGTCAAAAGCCTGGAAAATGGCCCAGCCAGGTTGTGAAACTAGATTTATCTGATCCTTGTCTCCTCATTCCACTGTACTAAGCTCATGTGCACGTGAAAACACACAGACCCACACACGTCATACAATAGCCATAAGGTAAAAGGCAATGGAATAAATTACTTTTAGAAACTTTTTGCGTCAATAGAAACGTAGTTTTTGAAGGACTTATTCTATTAATGGATATTTCTTGGTCTGTCTGCTGACAATGGAATACAGTGTATTCCATTTTGACTACTATCAAAACCACATTAAACAACAAATTTTAGTAATCAGAAGTGTATTTGGGGGCTTGCTAGCATCAAATTTAACAGTGATTCCTGATTTGTGCAAGCTACAAATTTATGCAAACGAAACCACTTAATATTGATTCTACAAACCATATCACCTTACAAAGGAAAACACCAACAAACGTGTAACCTAGCATTTGTCAATCCAATGGCCTTCCTGAGCCCATCCGTCCCCCTCCAGGCTCCAACATGCCAGGCTCCCTCCTTGGTAAAGCCCCTTCCACTGGCTTCTGGAGTCATGCTCCTCCACGGTTCTTCCCCGCCAGACTTCTCTCTGCCTCCCTAGGTCCTTCTTTATTTTCTCAAAAGATTCCATCCTCAATCTTTTTCTCCCTATACTCTCTTTTTGGAAAATCTCTTCTCCCACCCTCTTGACTTTTTCTTATATACCAATGACTCCCAAACTAGCCCCGGCCGTCCTGTGGAGCGCAAAGCCCCCACCTGTCTGGGAGACAGCACGCTTCCACACTTCATACTCAGGCCCTCTAAATGCAGCTCCTTATCTCCTTTCACGTTTCTTCCATGGATACCACTGCTCTGGAAACCTGTTAGGTTTAGCTATTTCCTCTCTGCTGAGACATCAGATCCTGTCCATTATTCCCTTTGCATCTGTTCCTTTCCCATTTCACTATTATCATCCATTCAGGGTTTTTCGCCTTTTCCTTGGTGGACTGTAGTAGCCTTTAATTGGTCTCCCTATCTCTAGTTTCTGGCCTGCCTCTCTCAATCTGCCCTGAGCTACTCACAGGAGCATGCGCCTAAAGCACAGCCATGACACTCCCCTGTTTGAATATCTTTAATGACACCTATTGGTTAATACTGTACATTCAAATTTCCTTGTTGGCGTTCAAGACCGTTTGGCACCGAATGCTCTCCAGTTTTATGCCTGTATAGACCAGTTCTAACTCAGCCGGACACTTCCCTGAAATTGCCCCCTGCTTTCTCCATCTCCAACTGTTCTGCCTCTCTCAAACGCCTCCTCCCCTTCTCTTTTATTGCAACTCCATATTCTTCAAGGACTTGTTTAAATGCTTATTCTCTAGAAAGAATCTCTAGACCCCCAGGGGTAAAAGGAACCTCTTCTTCCACAAATCATCAAAATATCTTCTTTTTGCATTTACCCCATGGTTTATTTCTGTATATTTTGTTTCCTCAGCAACATAACAGGATCTGAGAGGGAAGGGACCAGATTTCTTTTGCTGCTGAATTCCACATTCTTTCTAATACAGTGTCATACTCATAGTAGGTACTCAATAAATATTTGCTGTATAACATTTACAGAAATCCTTAAAGTTTACAAAGCATGCTCACATTCCACATCTAATTTGTTTTATGTGGAGCTTAAATTATTACAAGTGGCATCCAAGTCTTGCGATCTGATTTCTGTTACTTAATGCAATTCTTAAAACTATCTCTAATTTTCTGTCTTATAAATTAAACAAAAGCATTTCTTAAATTGCTTTACTTTTGAGGACCAATAGTCCTCTCTCTGTGGCCTACAAAGCTAAAAGAGGAGAGCATTTTGAGTAAAAGAAAGCCCCCTTGCCAAACTGCTTTTTCCTCTATGTAAATGTAAATGTATGTATGTTTATGTAAATGTACAAATAAAATGGACAAAATTTAGAAGAGAAGTGAGAAATTTCTTTCTAAAGATTTTAAAAAAAATTTTTTTCTCCTCTATGTAAATGTAAATGTATGTATGTTTATGTAAATGTACAAATAAAATGGACAAAATTTAGAAGAGAAGTGAGAAATTTCTTTCTAAAGATTTAAAAAAAAATTTTTTTCCCCCCTTTTTTGTCTTTTTTACTGACCGGTAATGGGATCGCAACCCTCGGTGTCGCGCCCGTACCGGGGACCAGCAACGGGATCGCAACCCTTGGTGTTGCACCCGCACCACGCTCAGCCAGTGAGCAGGAACCGGTCTCCACATGGGATCCGAACCCTCGGCAGGAGCGCCACCACGCTCCCAAGTGGCGCACTCTCCAGTGCACCACCGGGCTGGCCGATTTAAAAATTTTTAAAGTGGCTTTCCTATATATACACTTGGAATACCACATATGGGTCAGTCTCCACCATCCTGGAGCTGACATTCTAGAACACTAACAATAGAAAGTCACTAACAGTTGAATAAATAATTCCTTACTAAGAGACATGACATGACTAATACCACAATTGTAAAAACGTAATAATCTGCAGGGTCCTGAATATCCAAGTCCCTTGTAGGAGTTCAGTAAACATTTGTTGAGTGAAAAATAAATGAATGAATTCAGAGAAGGCCTTACTATTATTTATAAATTGAAAGCACAAGTTTTAATAGATAGGTGGAAGTATACTTTAAAGTGGAAAAATGAAAAATTGAATTGAGAGAGAACTTTGATGTGTCCATTGCTCTGGCCTGTTCCTGTGACAGATCCCACTCTGGACTACTGGAGAGGCAGGTAGAGGAGAGTGCTATGAATGGCAGGCACTGTCCATCTGACTATGCCTCTTTGGAGTGTAGGTTACAGGCTCAAAGATGGGCACTCTACCCTGAACTCTGTGGTCCCAGCACAGCGCTGTACCCACAGAATGTACTCCGTAAATGTAGTATAAGAGGTGAAGCCCTCCATGACCTGTCTCCATTTTCACCTTTCAGTCCCTTACATCTATTTTTCTTCACCTCAAAGGGGTATTGTAAGGAGTAAATGAACACACTGCACTTAAAACCCGGAACACACTGCCTGGCACTTACATGCACACAAATGCTTGACAAATGGTAGTTGTTACCGTCACCATCTGGGTCTTTGTGTATGTCTCCATGGTAGAGCTGAGTGTGCTGGACTGTCAGTAGGCAGCTGCGAGAACTGCGAGTATCTCGCGGGTGGGCACTTCATGCTTGTACACTCGGTGCCTAGCATGGTGTTCACCCCAGAGCATGCCCTGAGCAATGGAGATCCAAGTTCCAGTCCCGCCTCTACCCCAACCCACTGGGGAACCCTGAAGAGTCATTTAACTCTCTGGGCCTCAGTGATATCTGTGGGTCCTTCTAGCCTAGAAAAGCTAGATATCTATGAACACATGTATAGAAGCTTCCACGACAGTCACTGGCAGAACTGGAATGAGAAACCAGTGGTCCTGAAGCCCTGCTCACCTAGTTCCCCTTCATCTCAGGGGCTTCACACTTTGTGTCTTCTTAGTAACAGATCACTTGAGCATCATGGTCACTTTGTAATCCCAAAACCTGGTGGATGGCTGTCACGAGTCAGACGCCCTTTGAGAGTCCCTCAAAGAAACCATTTCCTATTTCCCGTTGACTAAGGAGAGACAAAAGTTTAGTTACCTCAGTTAGAACAGACCAGCCTTAACAGAGTTAGTTTTCTGTGCTTTAGAAGAAATCACTTGGAAATCCTTGGTTCTTTGTCCTCCATCTCCTCCACATCAAGATCTAAAAAAAAAAGGAAAAAGAAAAGTGCAGTGTCCCGTGACTAGCTACCAAAATTTGATGTTTCAGCAACAACAGTAATTTCAATTAGCATATATTGAATACCTACTGTAAGTCAAGCGTTGCACAAAGTGATTTACATATGTGGCCTTGTATAATCTTCATACGTAGGGATGTGAATGTAGAAAACATTCCCTCATTTCACAGCTACAGAAATGGAGGCTCTGAAAGGTCACCGAACCTGTTCCAGGTCACAAAGCTGGATTATGCCAGAGCTGGGACTCAAACCCAGGTTCAATTGATTCCAAAGCCTGTGCCATTAACCAGTAAGCCAAGGTTTTAAAAACTTGACAGTGACCCACCGTTTTAAAATTTTAAAAATATAAAATTGTGTTATATAAACTGAAAACAAAAAATGTCTTATAAAATAATGCTTACTCTTACTATGTGCAATGCCCACTGATATTTTCCGTTCTATTTTTTTCTATACTGCACTATATGTTTTATATCTTTTCACATTTTTTTCTCCAATAGCAACATACTAAACTGATTCCACAATCTTCTTATGGGTCCCTGCTTTTGGAAAAACACTGCATTTAGCTACAACATTTTACTAGAAGTTACTCTGAAACCAGAACAAAATAATTCTATACTTTTTAGCAATGAGAACCTGACCGAGTAGTTGAGCTTCATAATTAGGAGAAAAGTCTTTAACCTTTAAAATATGTATAAGTCACCATAACACATATCATCTATAATGGATCCTTAGAAGGGACATTCAATTAGGGCCAGAGTCCAGAATGGCATTAGGCACTTACCTGTAGCAGAGTGGAACCGCGGACAGACTAAAATCTCAGGTGACTTATGACACTGCGAAGAAGTGTGTAACAGCGGGCAGTTGTGTTGTAGACAGAGCAGACCTAACTACACACAAGTAGGAGGCTGAGATTGCAAACCCCTGGGGGCAGGGCCCTGCCTTTGCACGTCCTCTTCAATTGCAGGGGCTTGGTGGTGCACCCGAGCAAACCGTCCTGTTCCCGTGGGGTCACAACCGGGGTCCGCATTCCCAGTCCGGGGGAGGGGTGACGCGACTGTCGGCGCAGTTCCCGAGCCTGCTGGCCCCGAGCCCACCGCGTCCCCAGCCCCGGGTGCGCATTTCTCGGCGGCCCGGCGCCCTCGAGCACAGCCGCGCAGTCGGGCCGCGCGCCCCCT